TTGTGAAGCTGGAACAAGGTCGTCAAGCCATCATGTTAAAACCTGTCAACTCGAGAAGAGGCTGTCTAGATAGGTCGACACGTCGATGGGGAGTAGCAAAAGTGCAAAATGCCCCCCGTCGGCAAACTATGTCCCTACCTATCCTCCCTCAAAGCTCTCCCAACTTTCTGCCTTTCTTCTAGAGTTCTCCCCTCCTCTCCAAAAGGAACGCGCGGGCGGGCGGGGGAAAATAGCGCACTTGAAAAAGGAAAACCGAGAAAAGTCAATTACCGAAAACATTTTTATCACAGGCAACTACGCCCCATCCTTCAAGCGATGCTATTTCAGGGCCTGGAATTTCTCGTCGACAAGGATGACATCGATGACCTTGTTGGCTACATTTGTGGCTACCAAATGATCCACTGTAACCGACAACTCGTCTGCGACTTCGACGAAACTCCGCCCTCTCAATTACAACCGCCAACTGATCGTAAGTATTTTCGTTGTGTTTTCAATTATTGCTTTCACCTACCACATGTCTTGAAGTGTGATGGACGGACAAGCCACGCCCATTTTGCTCCCACCCATTCATGTGATAAGTCACGCCCCCCTTAATTTCTGCTTATTCTAATGAGAAGCTGCGCCCATTTTGCTATTGAGTACTATTTTCGAGAGCCATTTCCTCAGAAAACCGTTTAAGTGCGCAGAAAACTGCGACGGTTTTTTTTTAGTTTTGCACCCTCGAGTTGTATATTTGCTACTGATTACTAGTGTAAGATTGCCGTTTTAGCTCCGCCCTACTCAGCTGTTCATAAAGTGATTCCATGCGGATGGAATTACTCCAGTGACATCACATCAAGTGATCAGGTGGGAGCGTTACTATTTATTCAATACCCTATTTATTTGCTTATTTATTATATTTGTTTACTTGATAATTTATATTTTCAGAGTCTCGATTTGACTTCTGAACCGCCACCGTATGAACTGGCGAACTCTTTCGCCGAATCAATCGACGAGAAACGAACAGCCAGTCCAAAATCGGATAAAAGGTATGATTTTAGTGGTTTTTAGAGCTTTGCAAAGGATGAAGCCATAGTCAATGATTTGTTCCCGGGATACGCCACGCATCCCACCTATATTAAGAATCGCAATGGGTTTTGAATGCGGTCAGGCCCAGCAGACGTAGAGCGAATATCCTTATTTTCAGGGGTGAAGTTAGAGCTCATTAGCTAACCCTAAGCGGGCTGAATTGCCAGCCATCGGCTGGGAATCGATACGGGATTGAATTTATGATAACAGCGCCTTTCACCACTTGCCATCTGTTACCTGGGATCCTGCCAACTAAGACATGTTCTAAACGTTGTTGGGCTTAGAG